AGCCTGAGCTCGCTCAAGCTCGGCTCGTTTACAGCCCTATCTCTCAGTCACATTTTGATTTGGTGGTAACCACTTTGTAGGTCAATTTTTGAGAAGAAGGTGACACCATACGATTGAGATGAATGATCGTCGAGTCAAAGTATGGAAAAGCGATATTTGATTATAGTTTTATTTATGGCACGAATATCAATGCACATCTGCTAGGAGCCATCTTTCTTGGGTATGATGAGAGTGGGGACATCACATGGACTGATGCTTTCGCGTACCAAGCCTCTCTTAACAAGATCCTGGACTTGACGTTGGACTTCCTCGTACTCTACAAGTCATAATAAGTATGTGGGTCTATTTGGTAGTTTTGAACCTAGTACAAGGTCAATTGCTTGTTCGATGTCCCATAGTGGAGGTAATCCGTCTGGAAAATCATTGGACATGACAGCTTGGAACTCTTGTATGAGTGGTTTAAGTTATGTGTGTATCTCATCATCTTGGTCGTTACGTCCTAGAAGGTGGCTCGTGAGATTAATGCGTCTTCGATGTCAGCCAAGGCCCGCACATCTTTTACAAGCAATAGCATGATGCTTTTTCCATCCTTCTTGAATGTGTAGGTTTTTTTGAAGCCATCGTTCTATGTTTTCCGGTTGAATTGCATGATCTCCCTAGAAAGGTGTGAAATGCGTCCATCGGGGCTACATCACACCACACTTGCTCTTGTAGTTGGTTGTCGATGGTGAATTCAACTAGGCATTGTTGATCAAAGTGAATCTCGTTCCCCTTTTTGAGCTAGGTGAGAGAGTATGATTGTCGATGTTTTTTGTGTGGCTAAACCTAGCTTCTTAACCATTATGGTGGATACTACATTTTCACAGCTACCACCATCGATGATTAAACTGCAAATTTTACCCTTGACGGTGCATGTGAAGCGAAAGGTGCTATGTCGTAGCCATGACGGATCTTTGTCGGATTCAGACTGAAAGACCCTTCGTATGACTAATAGTTCGCATTCATCACCAGGGACTCGGATTGGGTTTCCTCAACTTTCTCGATCTTCGTCGGCGCCTTCTTCAGTAAATGAGACAATGCAAGTTGTGGGGTAATTGGCAGCGATGTGGCTCTACCTGTGGCACCTAACACATTTTCGTGCAGGAATTATCTTGAGGGAACTTTTTCTTTCGGGTTTCGTGCTGCTCGGAGTGGTTTTCATGCTTCCTGGTAGTGACTTGCCAGCTTCAGTCGTGGTTTTGTTGTTGTATGTGATTTGAGGTGATGGTTTGTATGTAGACTGCTAGCATAAGGAGTTTTGAGATTTCGTTTGCTTCTGTTGTCGTTCTACATTTAATGCGAGAGTCAGAACATCGCTTAGCGTCTAGTAGAGCTGGCGTTAACCAATATTACTAATGGTAGTTTTTAAATCCCAGAGATAGTGGGTTATTGTGTGCTCCTCTTGTTCGACCAGATCACACTTCATCTGTAGATGATTGAATTGTGTCGTGAATTCCTCAACTGATAGACCACGCTGTTGTAGGTTGGGGAGTTGGATGAACATGTCCCGGCGATAGAGGGGAAGAAGATATTTCCTTTGCATCGGTTTCTTCATGTTGTCCCACTTAGTGATCTTATCGAGTAGTCGCGATCGTTGCAAGCCGTCCCACCATAACGGCGTGTTTTTCTTTAGTTTGATAGTTGCAAGCTTAACTCGTTTGTCCTCTGGAAGCTTCTTATAATCAAAAATGTGCTCAATCACTTGCAACCAGTCAATGAAATTGTCGAGGTTCATACTTCCGTCGAATTCGCAAGTCCATTGATAGTGAATGCCAAAGCGGCATGGGCGATATTCATCGTCGCGGTGAAACAAATTTAGGTGGTCTTCATAAGTAAAAGGACGACTCTTAGCAAGTAAGAATGCATAAGCAGTAAAAAGAATACATAAGCAGCAGTGCAAAACAACACTAAGACAGACATGAAATCGAGCAATGCGGAAAATAAACTAAGCACATATCAGAAGCAGTCCTGGAGCACATCAGCGAGCAGTTGAGAAGTCACCGGGGAGGCTAGTGAAGAGTTGGCAACGACTGGACGGATGTCGGTGTGACCGGCGGTGATTGGAGTGGTGTTAGGAGAACTTGGAGAAGCTGACGGTCTGGGAAAATTCAAGGGACCCGATGACTGACTAGATGGATGATGGGAAGGGGTGGAGCTACTACAGTAAGATTGGGAGGATCGAACAGCCAGCGGAAGAAGCTAGAAGGGTAGCAGCAGTGGAGGGTGATGTCGAGAGAACAGGGTAAAGCAGAGATACACACCACCATGGCGAGATACAGTTGTCGCACCACGCCGTCAAAGGATACAGCCTCGAACGAGGGGAAAGCCCCCAGGGGGATCACCTGGAACCGGAAAAGTCAACAAGCAAAAACTGTCCTGACCTAAACAAAAGACAGGCATAAATAGCGGAGGAAGGGAAGACCACAAAGGTAAAATCTTGAGAAGGAAAGAGGCGAAGAATGGGAGGATTGCAATAGCTAGGAGGAGGTGTGTGTTAGGGCAAGGGAAAGGAAGGATCGCGGAAGATGAGCGGGGGTGATCGCGTCTTTTTAAGTGGGATTGAACCGGCGGTCCAGCAGGGGCGCTGGGCTAGTTCAACAGATCAAGTCCGGTCGATGGGCGTGAATTGCCCGCTGGCCGAACGGACCCACGTCAGTATGTAAATTTCCCTAATAATTAATTTTAAAATTGTCTTATTTTAATGGATTTTGAAGTGCACAAGCAGGCGTGAGTTTTAAGAGCAGCATAGTGCAAAGCAATACTTCCACACTTTGCACAAGTTTGAAGGAGCGAAAAACCAAAGAAGTTGTTCCAGTGTGATGGATCTTACATTTCACATTGTCTGTAGAGAGATGGAAATATTATAAGTTGATTATGATTTTCTTTCTAGCATTTCCCATTCTGCGCTCTATGTAATTGTATTTTTGACTCTCTTGGTTCTCTTAAATGTGAGCACAGAAGATAAGAGGAAGAAGGTTAATGCAAGTTTGTCTCTCCAACTTATCGCCCTATTCTCAAGCACGTGGCTATTTTTCTCGTCAATTCACTGTAAATATATGTTTGGTAATGAGATGTACACTGTTTATCATCTGCCGTAAATTCACTTTTGACTTTTATCTAATACTCAATCATTTAAGAAGACTTAAGATAAAAGATTGATTTGCTTGCTATTATAATAACTGCTTATATAGCAAACTTACCATTATGTTCATTCTTGCCTTTGCTTGTTATCCTCTGTAATTGAAAGTTGCAATCTTACCTTCACCTTTTTTTGTTATAAACTGAGATGATGTGATGACCCTGGATTCGCTTTTAGTTCTGTTTGCTGATATAAAGCATGTGTAAGTTACAGAGTATGTTGTTTCATCTAAATATCTTTTACACTGTGTGGTGCTCGTCAAATTCAACAGAATCTTGCAATCCATGAGTATAAAGGTTTATTGATGGCCATATCTTTAACTAAATATCAAAAGTTTTGCAGAAATAAACCATTTTCAATCACCTTTACATGTAAAGCATTACTGCTACAAAATTAAAATCAAAATATATGCCTACCTAAGTATTCATAAGTTCAAACCTTAACAATGAATGACCAAAATATATAAAAGTGTTAGTCCCCTTTATCGGATCAGAAAGTGCATTTACCTTAGGAAAAAATAAAAATAATAATTAGGCATACCAAGTTTAGCACCAAAAGTTTATCATAAGTTTGTATAAAAGCTATCTCCAATTAAACATCAGAAGTTTAGCATAACTAAACCATTCTCAATCACCTCTGCAGGTCAAGCGTTACTCCTACAAATGAAAAATAAGAAAAGATGCCTACCTAAGCTTTTCTAATTTCAAAACCTTGTAATGAATGACCATAATATATATAAGCGTCAATTCCCTTTTCTCTGATAAGAAAATCTCTTTATTTTATGTTAAACAAAACCAATAAATTTTAGACAGAACAAGCTGAGTGGACTATGATTAAACGGATTAAGAAAAGTATTTACTTATATTTTGCGTATCTAACACAAGTAATGCAACAGAAACATTTAATACAAGAAAAATATTCTGTGAAAAAATAGGAATATTTACATACATACTACTCAATTCCTATGTATTTACGCATCCTACACCTAGACTTCATTTTTTACATACATGACATCTTAACTATGCATGAAAATATGTATTTTACTTTTTAAAAGTTAAAATGATGGTATTTTATGTGATATGAAAATTTTGGGTGGTATAAATGTTAAAAAGAAAATTTTGGGTGTTAATATGTAAATACATATGAATTGGGTGGCATGTATGTATATGCCCCCAAAAAATAAATTAAACAGTTAGTACAACCTTACTAGCAGCAAATTGAGAACATTTTCCTTGCCATATCCTTCGAAGGGAGAACTTTTGCGGGCAAAAATCACTTGGACTTTGCTCAGTCAAGGTACCAGCATCAACATTGTTGCAGTTATCTGCAGCTTCAACAAGCCAGACAGAGTGCTGCAACCTATCTGCAATCCAAATGTAACTGTAATAAATACTTCAAACATTATAGATTCAGGAAAAGATGCTAAAAGAGGCAACCTTTATTGTATGATGTCATCAATGGTATCACATCGCTTGTCCATATTGTCCTCTCCTCATAATCCTTCATTACGGTCAATTTTCCCCTTTCTTCGATATAAGTTGCCTGCCATAAAAGTGAAAATGCTTGATAACTGATAAACCGTGCAAACAAGGTGTCACTTGGTTAGAATTAGGAGTGTAAGTGAGCCGAGCAAGCTAGCAAGCCGGTTCAAACTCAACTCGTTAACGAGCACAAGAGTCGAGCTCTAGAGTCACAAGCTGGAGCTTAGGCTAACTCGACTCGAGAGCCCGTCGAGTTAACTCGATTACATTTATTAATACTTTAACTAAATTTAATATTCCTATAATAAAAAAATGTTTTTTTGCTAATCCATAATTTTTTAAAATAGTTTTATCAAAATCAAGTTTTTTGAGTCCGGCATAACCGCCACAAGCCAAGTGTTGCTTCAACTCGACTAAACTTGCTTACCAAGTTAGAATATGTCAAAAACAGCATTAGCTTAGCATATTGCTATTAGATGTGAATAATCAAACCAAACACTTTCAAATTGTTAGCACCTAACTTAGCCAGCAACTAATAGCTATAAGAAGAGCAAAGAAATGACAGTCTAATGGATGGAATAGATGAGTAAACCCACCTCTTCAAAGTTGTCATGAAAGACAAGAATCGTTGGTATTAAAAGTCTGCCAATTATCAGAAATATAGCAAAGGCTATAAGAAGCAAACAAACCAGTAAACAAGCTTGTCAGGATAATTCAAACACTCTTAAATTCACCGTCACTCGGGACAGTAGGACTGGAATTGTTACGGTAAATTACAAGCTTAAGAAAAATTTTCTAAATGTAGCCAACATAACATAGTTGAGTAAATACAATAACATTAATTAACTTTCCTTCAATCCACTGCAAAGTCGATAAAAAAAGAACGATAAGGGATAATGAAGTTTGTAAAAATTCAGTGTAGAATTTTAAAGCCAGGAACCAAAAAAAAATGCAGGGTTGAACCCTTGTGGTGCCAAACCACTGAGATCCAGTTTGGCGTATGCCTTTCGTCAGATCATGACCACGATCCATGGAATTTAACAAATTTCTATAAAAATTCACATATCGCTCTTCTGAGAGACCCTTCGCAAGAGGTCAAATTTTTGAAAAGTGGATAATAACATAAGACAAAACACCACCTAAAGATTTTGGCATTAATTGCAAAAATTTTGTTACTACATAGCCCAAGGGTTGCACTTTCCAAGCCAAGAACAGAGAGTCGGACAATAAATTTCAAATTTTCTATTTCTAATATTATCACTAACCACTTACTATAATCAACCAAATAATCTAAACAGCAATTAATGAAATTAATTTCAAATCAACTGAAAAGTAAACATTCTAAAAAAAATTACATTTGTCCATGTTGATCGTGCCTTCTGTAAACATTCTCCCTTCTGACAATTATTTTATATATTGACTCTTAAACCTTAAAATGTTAATATTTTTGTGAACTATCAAAAAGCAAGGGAATGCTCATATTTCTAGACTACAATAACTAATGAAAAATGAAATCATACGCACATCAATCAAAATACTCATACATGTTAAATTTATTATATTGTACTATAAAATTTCCATAACTATATTTTTACGCGCGCGCACATACACTCCCTATCATAAGAGCATAGTCTAAATTGCACCGATTATGATACGTCCATATCAATATTATTTTTTAGTTTACATTTAGGGTGTACCTTAGCAACTCCAATTAGTATCAAAAAGAAATGAACTATATCAATAAACATGCTCATGTTTGAACTAGAATCCTAAAATTGAATTAAATGTATTTGTATTTGTAAGAGTTTGTATGTGTGTTGCTATCTATGTGTATTTGTGTGCATGCATGCATGTTGTATGTATGTACATATATATGTATCTATGTATGTATCACATAATTAAATTGTTATTGATACTTAAAATTAAATTTAATATTTGACATATTGTCCTTTTTTTTCATGTTTATCATATTATTATATTTAGAATTTAATAAAAATTTCAACATTAACAAATTTTGAATTAACTGTTAATAAATTAATTTTAATTATTAACTTATTTATATATATAAATCACATTAAGCCTTAACATCTCCAAATTAATACCTGATATTGTATACATTTAACGTTGCATTTTTATATTTAGATTAGACTTTTAACATTTAAAAATGTGTATTACATATTTTGGAATTCCCATTAAAAATGTCAAATATTCTGTATAAAATGTGAGCTTTGAAAATTTCAACCACCCTGGACTCTCTATTATTTTTATTTGTATTGTTGGCAGAGCTTGAGAGGGTTTAATTTTAAGAAGACAAATGGAATAGTAGATAAGTGATGTGAGAGCTTACCGTGGGCACGATACTGTTGTTGCTACAGTGTAGTGGGATTTTGCCACGAGAAACGAGCTGAAACAGACCCATTTTCCTTTCTTATGGCTTCTTTTCAATATTCTTTCATTGTTTTTTAGTTATTTTCTATATATGTGTTTTATTAGGATGTGGAAATCAGTTTTGGTTCAAACTTCTGGCAGGACACTCGTCGGTGTCCATTTGTCACTTCAAGGTCAGTATCCGCGAGTTTGACTGGTGCTCCGGCTTTATCTCTCTCTGTATCCCTTTCCACATTCTCTCCACGTCACTCCCGACCGCCCTCCATTGCAGCAGCCACCCCCAAACAGTTGTACCTTGTAGTTTTCCCTGTAGCTTCCCAAATCCAACCACGTGTCATTGTCGCATTCACCCTAGAAAACCGTCTTCTTATTATCCTGCAGTTCCTCACATCCCCCGTTGCTTCCGCCAACATTCCCCCTCACTGCAACTGCCCGAAAATAGCCTTGTTATGTTGTTTTTTTGTTGTTCCAGCAACCCAGCCATACATTTCTCTCTTTTCAGTTTGTTGCCCTTACCGCAACTCCTCCCAACCGTTGTCGGTGTTCACCCCTTTTCTTATCATCACGCCTTACAGCCTTCACCCACTCCTTGCTACCTCATCAGAGGGTCAAACCCTTACCGATCACCAATACCAAGCTGAGATCCCACCCAAGTTTGATTATTTATATCATGTTTGTTACTATTTCCGATTTCAGGTTTCGTGTTGTACATTTTTCCTTTCAAGTGTTGATTGTAACAACTTGGTTGTTTCAAGTAATGATATTTGCTTTTCTATTATAATTAGAGTTAAATATGGTATCAATAAGACATAAGCCCAGAGATTTAACCCTCATTTTGTAAGAACGTTTTGATCTGGTATTTGAAGTTTCCCGCGGGCACAAGTCCCTATGGTTAATTATCCCTCCTGATAACACGAAAGCACTTTCAATTATGGATAGTCATTTAACACTGAATAATCAGTAGATAATAGTAACAGAAACACATTTTAAATCACAAAATCAATCACTTCGTGAAGCAGGCATGTCAAGCATGGCGCTGACGGGCCATGTAATAAAACGGGCATAGTGTAGGGAAAGTTGCGAGCTTCTCCCACAGCGTACTTCGTCTAGACCAAAACGCTCCAAACTCGAAAGTGTTGAACGACTCTCCCACGAAGGATTGATGCCTCCATTCCATCTGAGGAGCTAATCTTGATTATCTAATGCTTATATATGTGATTTCTACTTTTAGGTTTTCAATTTTGGCTCAGATTTCGGTCAGGACAGTCTTCGGCGTCCAGGATTTCCCTTCTACGGTTGTATCTGATGTCTAGTGATGCTCTGCTTGTAACACATCCGAGGTGGTGATTATCCTCGTCCTTCCAACCCGTTGCAACCCTCTCGTTGTTGTTGTTGTTGTCGTATTTGTAGCAACCATCAAAGAATAGCCATGTTATTGTTTTCCTGCAGTACCGGCCACCTCCCCTCCCCTCCCAATCTGTTGTCTCTTGTCGCGGACCCTTCCCCTTCAAGTCATCAACCTGAGGACAATATGTTCGTTGCCTTTCCGCAATTCCAGCCCTCCCTATAGCTACCATCACTATCCTAAACATCCCAGCACCCTCCTTTACCTAATCTCAGCCTCCCTGCTTGTTCTTGCACCCTCCCGCACTCCCCCGCTTGCTACCTTGTCGGCCCAATCCACTTCTGGCTTGATGTCGCACCCTTCCACTCTGTTGCCCGACCACCAAACTACCTTCTGCTCACTGCCGTTAAGCTTCTGTATCACCTCCCGCGCTCCATTTCCACTACCTCGACATGCAGTCTGCCACAGCCGATCCTTGCCCAAGGGGGACTTTTGTGTTATCTCATTATCTTCTTATTGCAAGTGTCTTTGTTTGTAATTTCATTTGAATTTCAGCAAGTACTTTCATTCCTATTGTAGTTTGGATTAACTCCGGTATCATTTGGTATCAGCTCTAGCCTAATCTAGTCATATCCTAGAGTTTTCTAGCATCTATCATACCCAAACCTTCTCCATTCCAACATATTTTCTTCCTGCCCTCAAATACACTCTTCCAATTCCACAAACCAAACCCTAATCATGCCACCAAGGAGATATATGCTCGAACTCGCCCGTTACGAAATATAACGAGAGAAAGGACGCTTCCAGCATAGGCTCACGGAGATCGATGACAGGACTCAGGGAAAATTACCCTCAATTCTGACAGAAAGAGATGAAGAGTAGAATAAGACGAGAATTGAAACCTCTCCACTATGAAGGACTTCGATGATGCGGAGGACAGGCCCCGATGTTTACGAATTTTGTATCGAGGAAGGCCAAGAGAGGAGGCAACATATGGAGGACACAGAAATTTCAAAATAAAGATTGAACTGTCATAATTCAATAGAGGTATGGATCCCGTCGATTTCATCAGATGATCTAAAGCAAATGAGAGATTCTTCGAGTACAAAATGACAGAGGATAAAAGGGTCAATTTTGGGGCCATCAAGTTGAAAAAAAGAGAAGGCAATGACAAGATTACTTGATGGGAGAAGTTGAGGAAATTGAAGCAGAGAAAATACTTGGCTCCTCATTACTGCCAGTATTTGAGACTCCAGCTGCTACAGTAGAGAAGTTCACAACGCAGTTTAACCAGGTGCAGATGAAATGCGAGTTACTTGAGCAAGAGAAAATTTTCATAGCCCAATATCTAGGGTGCCTGAATCCAGGTATCAACAACGTTGTGTGGCTGCAGTTTTATTAGTCGTTGAGAGATGTTCAAACCTTATCCCAGAAGATGGAGAGACAACAATAATGGAGCAAGCAACCAACACCATTCAGGTATCCGCCCGCAGTTGGAGATGTCAGTAGAAGCACGCCTCAAAAAGATGAGCAAACTGAATCGAATAAGGACAAAGCCACCACGAGTGAGAAGAAGCACTAGAAGAGTAGCATGCCTACTACAGTTCCTGCCCTAAAACGCTTTAGATGTTATAGATTTGGGCACATCAAATCCAGCTGCCCGAAGAGTCGTGCCTTTTACCAAGCAGGGAGTCGTGGAGGAGGTCAGCAATGAGGAGGGAGCTGAAGGACAAGGTTAAGTGTATAATCCTCCGCCAGATGAGGGCGAGTTGCTCGTGATTCGACGGGTTCAAAAAACTGAGGATACGAGGGAACCGTAGTGGTTTTGCCAAAACATATTATACACTCGTTGCACTATGAAAGAAAAGTATGCATTCTCATCATCGATGGAGGGAACGGCAAGAATGTGGCGTCTACTTAGATTGCGGAGAAATTGAGCCTCACAACTCAGAGACATTCCCGGTCGTATTCTCTGACGAGACTGAAGAAGGAGAATAGTGACAGCATTGACTAGAGGTGTCTAGTAGAGCTTTTTTATTGGAAACTAGTTGTAGGATCAAGTGAGGTGCGACGTGGTGCCCATGGATGTCTGTCACCTTTTGCCATAGAAATCGAAGCAGTATGACCGCAAAACTTGACATGATGGTTGCAGGAACACTTATTCTTTCATCAGAGTCTGAGATCACAGAAGTCATTGCCAACGTCGGTGAGATTAGTTTTGATGATGATAGAGGATGATAGTATTAAGATGTAGATTCCATACATGGGACTTTCACGTCAGAGAACATTTAAAGACATCATGATCGATATATTATCGTCATGGCCGCCATTTAGGAGGTTCAGGTTACCTTCACTTTAGATCAGGTTGAACCAACCATGAGTTACTTTCGGAGGATTCAGCAGAATATCTATAACATGACATCCCAACTTAGTTCAGGAATGTAAACCCACAAAGTTAGATATATAAGGATTCATGCTCTCAAGTGGAGAAAACTCCTCAGGTGTTTTAGGGGACAATGTAGTCGCTAGTGGGATCCAGATGCTTCTTGGACTGTAGTCAAAGACCTCCAACCTCGGGAGATTACAAAACCTTCGCTACTTTGAACGTGCAGATAGAAGCTATGATGAATGAAGTTGAATCTCCCCCAACCCCGAGAGACTGATGCAGTCACGTCAAGGACGGCACAGACGCGTCGTCTAGTACTGCACGTGGGGTGTATGGGAGCGTTGGGCTTCTCCTGCAATGTCCTTCATCTAGACTAAACCAGTCCATACCTAGAAGGGCCAATCGGCTCTCCCACAGACGATTAACGCCTACTCTAAAAAGTCGGATCCAAATCTAGTCATCTAGGGCTTATATATGTAATTTTTTCTTTTAGGTTTTCAATTTTGGCTCAGATTTCTATCAGGACAGTCGTTAGTGTCCAGGTTTTCCCTTCTAGGGTTGTATACAAAGACAAGTGATATCCTAGCTATATATCATCTGAGATGGTGATTATCCTCAACCTTCCCATCCCTCCGCAACCCTCCCGCAGTTGCCGCCACAGCCTTCGTACTTGTTGAAGCCACTGGCAAACAATCACGTTACTGTTTTCCTACATTGTCGACCACCTCCCCTCCCAATTTGTTGCCCTTGCCGCTGACCCTTCTCCTTGTTGTCATCATCCCGAAGGCAGCCCGCTCACAGCCTCTCTATGGTTTCAATCCTTCATATTGTTGTCATCATTGTCCCAGCCATCCCAACGCCCTCCTTTACCTCCTCTCAGCCTCCTACCTTGCTATTGCACCATCCCGCACTCCACCGCTAGTTGTTTGGTTGGCCCAATCCACTTTCGGCTAGCTTTCGCAACCTCCACAGTCTCCAACCTACTGCCAAGCCACCAAATCACCTTCCACTCACTATCGTCAAACCTCTCTATCACCTCTCGCTCTCCTTTTCCACTACCTTGACCTGCTTCCCACCACTGTTGATCCTCGCCCTCAGAGGTGTTTTGTGTTTGTGTTGTTGTTTTCTTATTGCAAGTGTATTTGGTTGTAATCCCTTCTAAATTTCGGCAATAATAATTTCATTTCTACTTTGGTTTGGGTTAACTCCAATATCAATTGGAGCTTAAACCAGATGGTGGGGGGAATGATGGCAAATTCGATCAAGATCTCATGGTCCCGTCGACCAAAGTCTTTGTGATCCCTGATTGGTATATTTTTTCCACACTTAGGAAACCATAATGTAAAACATAAGAATGATATTTACTAGAGATAAGGGGCATGCTCCAATTCTTACAGAGATGCCTAACCCTCGGCCATGCATTCTCCAAATAAATAGAAAAGACTGTACAAAACTTGGTATTTCTATGTTGTTAAAAAGCTCCATAACTATATTACACCATAATGCTTGCCAAAATGATCAGGTTACGAAGATAGAAAGTTCTAATCAGTAGGCCTATTAAGAGATCGTGTATCAAAACAAGACAAATTATAGTAAAATAGACAGAAATCATGAATTAGAAATAAAGAGAAAAGCAGCCAGAAACTTGCCGTTCAAGATTTTATTCAAAACAAAAGGAAAACAAGCAAATCAAAGAAGTGATAGCTTGAAGTTCAAGTTCTAATAAGACAACAAAAAAGTCGTATGAAATAAGCCTAATAAAAGATAGGAAGATTTACATGCGTACCACACAATTCTTATGTATTTACGTATCTAACAACTAAACTTTAAATTTTACAAGTATGTCACATTGTCTATGCATGAAAGTGTAATTCACTTTTTAAAACTTAAAATAGTGGTATTTTTTATGTGATATAGAAGATTTCAGTGGTATAAATGTAAAAAATTGAAGTTTAGGTGTTAGATATGTAAATACATAAAAAATTGAGTGGTATGTATGTAAATGCCCCAACAAGATATGCACCTGCAGTTCGCCCATAGGATGCTTCAAAATCAAGTGTGATGATAATGAAGCACCAACTTCCTTGACAATTGGTTCAAGGTAATTATGCTGATTTGCAGTGTAGCGCCGGCTGCGATAATCCTTTGGCGCACGACCAGTATCTCTTGCATATACTATTGAACTAGAAGTTTTTACCGAACGGTGTTCATCTGTCGACTTTTGTAGAAGTAAACCAAATGGAGTGGGCCAGATGTTCGTGATGGTATATGGAAGAGGAATGCAGATAACCTCGCCTAAAAAATAATATGAATTACTACTTGATCTTCACTGCGAATGAATTAACAAACTGTGAATATGAAATGCAGAATAACTTTTGACAGAATGTATTCATCCCAGTTGAAAAGACAAAAAGACTAGAAGGACCAGATTAATGAGAAAAAAAAGTGCAATGCAAAAAAATGGAAGCTCGTTTCAGTTGTATAAATTAAATGCCAAAGTTTAAGATGAACTTTTCTGAAGAAACATGTGTTTTATTTGAAACATCACTCACCAGATACATAGTATACTGATAAGTTATTGATTTCTAGAACACAAAGAAGTGCATCAGGGAAAGCATCCATGCGACACCAGCAAGCCTGCATTTGATGTTTAAAGATTTTTCCGGAAAATCATTACAAAATAACAGAAAAGAGAGAATTTTCTTCAACTGCACACAAATAAAGGAAGGCAGCAACTGAGGATATACAAAGAGGAAGCAAACCGCTTCTCAAAGTTAACGTAACAATATTCAAGAATCAAATCAAATCATTAAAAAGAAGTGACTCTCTAAATAAATGTCGACCAAAAGAAGAATAAATAAAAAGCATTCAAAGATGCATTGTTTAAACAAGAATGCAAATTTTAACATCAGCAAAAGAGATTTAGATCTAATCTTCTTGACAACTTAAACAAACAAAATATAAGATCCAAGAGTAATAATTTGTTTTTTGATTAGAAACCAAAGACAATCATTCCAAATGGCCCAGCACCCTTAAATCCACCCTCTTTAATTACACCTTTCGACAATGAGAGAGAACTTCCGATTAAAATTAAGCATTAATACACTAATTGTTTCAAGTAAAGCAGAAATTTTATTTTAAATTAAGAGAAGTTACCAATTTACAAAGCGTGGTGGTGTGAAAGAATGATGAAAAACTCGATCAAGATTATGTAATTCCTACATGCCATATATCATGATACTTGATTTACTTAGTGAACGTAGTCGACCCAATATAATTGAAGGATCCTTCTAGTGGGATATTCATCAAAAAAGACAAGTCTAAATTGCCCTTAGTTGGTGGGTTCTGTGCCCTACTGTCACGACTCGGCCCGGAACTTGAAATTAACCAAGGTAGGTACATAAGATTGGATGGTAAGAATTAAAATTTTCTATATTCATTTTATATAATTAACATTTTAGAGTCACTAAAGAAAGTAAATTGAAATAGTACAACTAAATTTATCTCATCTCTAATTGTTCCCATATTTTATAGATTTCTTTTCTTCTACAACTCATTTTATTAATTAATTTATTTAAACCTAAAATGTTAATTTAAAATAATAGTGAGCTAGCTATAGCCAGTGAATACTCACACTCCAAGATTACAGCAGGACAATGAAAGAAAAAATAATATGCATGTCAGTTAAACTCTTACAAAATCAGTAATAAAATATTTGCTAGCTTATGAATATGATCTCTCATTATATTTCATAATATTTAAGACATTTTATTGTATCAACAAAATTCATATATCATTTATGTTTGTACAATCGTCATAGAAGCACCATCTAAAAATTATAGCAGTTAAGATACTTCAATATCAATTAGCTTTTCAATTTACGTGCACGGGTACCTTAGTGATTCTCCGCTAGTACCATAAAGAGATGGCTTCATCATAGTCATACATTCACATGCAAGCAATTCAACTAGTAAATCTCATTATTATTTTATTTTCATAACATTTAGTATACAATATAATAGTCTGAATTATTTAATTGATTGAGCATATCCAAAATCAGTAATATGCAATTTAATATGATCAAATAAACCTACAGAGCATGTAAATTTTATCTAAGCAACTAACAAAGTGCATCAGATTTATAAGAAACTAAATTAATATTATAATTTAAAGTACGAATGCTCACCTTGGTGTCGACTAATTTATTCATGGATTTGTCTTTACCTCAACTCATCTAAAATTAGTGCCTACAGTAAACATAGGTATTCATATTAATAAAAAAATTTACTTAATTTATTACTTTAATTAAAGATTAACTTTACATTATTTAACTATTAAATTTCATTATTTTACATCATGTAATCCTAATTTTTTAAATATTTTTTAATTCAATATATAGATATATTTTTTTATTAAATATTTTAATAACAAATACTTAAAACTCACCTTTATATCTCTCTCGCTCAAGGCCTACTTACGTTGAACATGTCTTCCTCCTCTACACGCGATCCGACCTACTCTCTACACGAGCCTCTCATGTCGTCTCCATTGCTTGCACAATGCAAATTTCTTCAGTCTGACGAACAAAGACCTTTGTCGATATCGCCGCCTTCGGCTACAGTAAAACTCTAGCTTGCGCTCGTTTGTCTTCTACCTTTGCACGTGTCGTTCAACTCTCTAGGTAAGTCCTTCGAGATCAAGTAACCCCTGAGTTACGGACCCCGCACTTCATTTCCATCCTTTTGACTCCTCGAGATCAAGCGAGGCATCACAATCTTCCCCACTTCAAAAAATTTCATCCTCGAATTTTATAAAAAAACCGCAAGCCCTCTCTCATTAAGCAAATCGACATGAATCATCCATAAATTTCATGACGAAACCTAGGAGTCATTCAAATATTATGGGAAACAAGTGTGGTGACTTGTGAATTTGCCAAGAAATAGGATTTTCAATACAAATCTTCCCTGATGTAGAGAATAAGTGATTTTTCAGCATCTAGAATGATATCAAGTTAGAGCATTGCAAAAAAATTGGTTTGTCTTTACATATGGATCTATTGAAGGCATTTAATTTAAAATATGAAGGAGAAATTAAGGGTTTGATTGTCATCAAATGTTCATACCCACTGATTACCCATTAAGAAGAAAATAATATATTTTTTAAAAAAATAGAGTTGAAAAATCAAGACCTCCGCCAAGGATAATTGGGGAGAATTTTTGGCAGATAACTAGTGAAATCTCGAAAATCACTGATTTCCCAAAGTTATAGTCAAATCGTCTTACTGACTTTTGTTTTACATATAGTTGGACAAAATAGAGTATTTCCTAGCCGAACTCTACCGCCCTTGGAATACACCTTAAGGGATTGTTTGGGGCAGTTGCAGCTTATTGAATAAATTGCTGATAAGCTGATTAAAAATAATCTACTGATAAGCTAGGTGCGGTGGCTATTACAAATTTTGATTTGTTTGGAAAAATATTACAGCGAGAAAGTTGCTTGCGGTGTAAAAACGTTATTTTCAGCATTTTGAAAACGCATAAACTGTCAAAACGCAATTTACCCAAACAGGTCAGATGCATTTTCAAAAAGCCGCTGCACCAAATAAGCTGCCCCAAACGGACCCTAAAGGTATTGCTTGTGTAGTGTATGTCGATGTTATTATTTTTTTTTTCTTTGGTAGTAAACCTATTTCCCTATTAATAAAATTGTGTGTTTGTGTTTCTAATATGGTTTAAACAAACTCAATCGAAAAGGCCTAAGAAAAGGTTAGCTATTCCTATGCGATCAAAAAGACCATCATTGTCCCTTCAAGACATCAACACTAACTCATCCTTTAGTGGAACCACTACAAATCCTCATATTCGAGATAAGTGATGCGCCTTTTATGCCCTAAAAGAGAGTTATGGCCACCCTAAGGGTGATGAAGTCGCTTGACCCCTTTTATTTTCGTAACCCACAAGGCCACAGCCAAAAAACTAGCAACCCCACCGATGCGGGTGGGGGTGTTTCCCGCATGGATGCGGAAAACAAGACCAGTCGATTGAACCGGCAGGCATAGGAGCCGGTTCAAAGAGCCCGGTCAAGCCATCCAAAGGGGCGAGTGGCATCAGGCGGCACCAAGCGGCTGTCCTTTCATGTCTCCTACCCGAATCAAGCGACATTTGGGGAAGGTGGCATTGTTACTGGCCCTTTTCTCCTCCTTCCTTTCTTGTCGTATTTCCTTTCTTGTTTCCCACCAAGCTAGGTCTATCTATATGCTTGTTTTTCTGAGTTTAGTTCTTGTTGTGTTTGCTTTCAGATTTCCTGTGTGGATTACTTGTCCCTTTCGTAAGGTTGTATCCGAGAAGTTGGTGGTGCTCCGGCTGTATCCTACTCTGAGGTGGTGATGTATCATCCCTTTTCCTCTCTCCTACACCTTCCCTTCTCCTCTCCTTAGTCACTAGCAGCTTCGACCCTTTCCCAAACTGCCTCCAGCCCACTTTCCAGCCAAGCCATCTACTGTCTAGCCCCTCCAAGTCTGTTGTCCAGCCCTTCAACTCGTTGTTCTGCAGTCAAACCTGTTGCCCAACCCTCCATTATTGTTGGCCTTGCAGTTTTGCACCTTCCCCTTGCTGTCACCAACCTTTCTTTGTTGTTGCCACCCCTGTCAACCATCTTGATCCACCTATCCGACCTCCACCGGCATTGGGATACACCTTAAAGGTGTTCGCTTGTGTTGTAATTTTTTATTGTGTTGTGTTGTAACCTTCACTCTGCATTAATAAAAGTATACTTTTGTGTTTCCCACTACTTATCCTACTAGTTATGATATCACCCAGGCTTATCCAACTTTACTTCGCCTTTTGTTGCACCTAGTTTAGTTAACATTTGCATATCATTTTAGTTTATAAGTTGAACTTCGAAAACTTCAATTGTTGTAATGAATTATTTAGGGTTTAGTTAAATGTAATCATAAATTTGTCTTCTACACCTCTTGGCTCCTACAATATAAAGAGTTAAGGTTCTCACTTTAGAGCTTAATGAAATTTGAAGAATTCATCGTGAAAAGCTCAGCAAACCCTGCGATAGGATCCAACGAACGGCTGCTAAGTGCTATGTGTTCTTGATCCAAAAAAAAGTGAAAGAATCAACTCCAAGTCCAGCACAAGGAAAATATCATTTTCCAAGCGGCTTTTTCTTTTCTATTCTGTTCCTTTCTCACAACTGAAAGTTTGATGAAAAATGAAAGCATTCCTCTCCTAAATTTATGTAAGATCAGAAATACATTCCGATGAATAGTTGCTAAGGTATGTGTTCATTATTTATCCAAATTAAGTACAAGGATCACCTCCACGTACAGGAAGAAAACCATCTCAATTTTGATTTTTACCTTTTTCTTCCAGTCACGAGGTTCTCCGAGTCTTCTTATTTATGCTTACTACTTATCAGGGAAGGTTTTACCGTGTTCCTTTTACCAAGGCTTCGCATCACCGATTAAATCCTCTTTTCTTTGTTTTTCTCCTCGGTCCACAAGGTTCAAAATAATGTACAACATATTCATAATATTTTACTAAATTGATGCAATCAAATGGCTTTCTCATGAAAGCTGAAAAATTAATATGCCAAAAATGATGCAAAATGGAATCAACGGCTGGAAATTTAACATATTAATTTCAAAAAATACATTGCACTAGTCATGGTAACTGAAAGGCATTGATATGATCAAAAAATAAAATAAATAAATGGAACTATAAGCTGAAAAAAAAAATTAATTCTTAATAAATAGCAATTGCCAAAAGCCATATAAATATTTCCCTTCCACGATTCAACATTTTGCATATCAAGACATCCTATTTGTGTAAAAAAAAAAAAAAAACTGCATAAATTAAATTCTTATAACTCTACTATATAAAAAAAAAACAAAAAAAAAAAAAAAAAAAAAAAAATCTGACATGTTTACATACAGTAACAATATTGTTTGAAGAGCTATATCTTTTATGAACTTCGAAACCTTTGCTCCATATAATCCTGACAGGAAAGAATACATTGAAACTAAATTAGAAGCTCTTTCAAAGACATAAGTTAAGATACACACAAAGCTGCATGGCTTCCCAGCAATATGATCACTTTAACAAACAATTTTTCTCAGCAAAAACATCAGAGTGCTTAAAGTCAGGTATGTTTGAAAATAGCTTGGCAGCACATCCACGAAACTTCACCAAATAAAAAGTCAATTCCAATTAATCAGGTACTATTATGAATAATAAAAGATGTACAATACAGTTAGTAAAATGTAATATGGATAACAGTTAGAAAAAAATAATGTGAAAGAATGCATAATCCAACTAAAAATTTGAAAACTACGACATCCTTGGATATTGAAATTTCATTTTTTTTTTTTTATTTTACATTTAAAATTGCTTGATCGAAGACAAGGTGTTACGTATGGATCTACCACCCAGCAGAAAATGAATGTGCGGTGGAAGTAGGAGAAAATAAATGAAAGGAAAGAGAGAGAGAAAAAAAAGAGAAAGCAATGCTACAAATATTCATACCAAATCTTCAAACTGATGATTTTTAACGCTTGAAGCATGTAAAGAAGTGTCTAATCCTTGAAGAACAAATAAAATGCTCAACGTTCAAGGAAGGAGCCATGAAACTTGATTCATTCGATAATCAAAATCGAATTACAATTGGTCATGAAAGAGCTGCTCTGGAATTTTAAAATAGAACAATGACATACAAAAATGATTTAAGGATATTCAATTTTTTACGGGGTTATATTGAGCAACTTCCATCATTTGTTTCATTTTATTTATATTTTGATTTGAAACAAAATATCTCGTTATCTTAAATATGTATTATTTTTGTTTTAAGTAAATATTAAATAAATCAAATTCTAAGGCAAGATAGTACTGGTGGGCAGGCAACGGCCAGCAATGGCAGTAATTACGGTGTTGATCACAATGATGGTGACTTGCAGCCAACTAATCAGAAAAATTTTCATTTAAAAAAAATAAACATAAAAACACCTAGAAACAATTAAACGTTATTTTAGGTATTTTCAAAAATAACAAGATTTTTTAAAAAATTAATATTATATTTATATATATATATACGGCATT